CAGTGGTCATTGCAATAATCGATTTTGAGTCAGTTAGCTTCAGTAGTTACTGATTTATCGCAGTTTTCGTGTTTCTGTAAATTACCGTTATATGGGGCGTGGCTATTGCCCGAGTTCTATGATTTTCAAAAAATTTTTTAGCTGGGTCCTAAGAAAGTCTCGTACCGAGTTTGCAAGGATTGGTGAAGCGGCTACTCGGATACAGTATTTCATCATAAGTTGGCGCGGTTTCGCCCCTTTTCCAAAAATTTCATCATAATATTATTTTATACAAAAATTCTACTTGACGTACTAATTTTCAACAATTTGGATGAAATATTTACTGAAATATCATAGTTTTTGCTTTTTTCGAAAATACCGTTATACGAGTAGGGGCGTGGTTACAGTCTGATTTCGGTCATTTTCAATAGCAACCTACCTTGGATAAGCGGCAACCTATATACCAAATTTCTTTGAGGTATCTCAATTTTTGCTCGAGGTATCGTGTACACGGACAGACAGACGAACAGACGGGCGGACGGGCGGACGGACAGAGATGGCTTAATCGACTTCTCTTTTCATTTGATCATTAATGTATACATTTGTCTATATATAGGCTGTTACAAACATCCGCTATGCGAACAAAGTTATAATACCTTGTGCACAAGTGCGCTTGGGTATAAAAATGATGTGACAGCATGATTCTCTCACGGCTCTCTTTGCACTTAGAAATTTAGCTTAGAAATCAAAAATCTATAGTTCTCCAAGTTTGTAAGTGAAGTTGTTTTTTTTTTTGGGTAACTACATACACGCGCTGCTCATTTGTCAGACATACAACTTTCAAGTAAAGTCAAGTGCAAGGCCAATTTCACAGTGCGTAGTTAACCCAGAATCGGCAGTTAACTAGAGATTCTCAGTACAAAAATCGGTAGTTAACTGCCGATTCTGAGTTAACTAAGCACTGTGGAATTGGCCCTAAGTCTTGCATAACTTAGCTTTTACACATACGCGTTCCACAAGTAAGTTTTAGAGTTTATATGATATACGCTGACAGTTCGAACTTTGCTCGAGTTTTTCTACAAGAAGCTTGTGAAACAAATCTAATTTTGTGAAGCCTCCTATACTATTTACTACCTTTATTAAAAAAAAGGAATAACTGCCAATAGAATTGGAGCCCCAAGTTTTTCCTATATACAGAGTGGGCCAAATGAGACCTAGTAATGTTAAACACGTATAACTTCTTTATTTTTTAATGTTATTGTTATTTGCTTTCTGCATGTTATAGTTAATCTCTTGGAAACTCATAATGGATACTTACAGCAAGACCACCAACAACGATTGCAATATCCTATTCGTTTTACACAATTAGCCACACAAATTGATTTTTTAGGTAATGTTTTGATGTCGGTTAAAGCGCATTACCAAGCAAACCTGTAGATTGTGGGGCTCTGAAAATCCAAGGGCAACACACCAGCACCAGTTAAGCTGATGCCACATAAAACTTTTGCTTCGCTTTGAGGGACAGATTCGCTTTGACAGATAAGATGAATTGTATGAAAATGCACAAATCATGCCACATAAATCGTTGAAGCTGCACTGGCCAACTCCCATCTTTTTGCGCGCTTTGACAATCAGCCGGTTTAATATTTATTTTGTTTCGTCCAAATTCGAGATTTCATGCATAAACATAAAACTTAATTACATTGCTGATAATTTTAAAGCAAAATATATAAAATCCACAGCAACTTTGACAAGTAAAAAAGCGGTACAAAATTGTTTTCTTGGTGTTCATTGTGGCATAACTTTCGCGTATGGCGCTTTGCTGGCAAAGTTATAAATGTCACGCAAAGCTACAAAGTTTTATCTGGCATCAGCTTTACATCCATCCAGATGCACTGTTTGGTGCGGTGTTATGGCAGAAAAAGTTATCGGCCCATATTCCTTCGAGAATGAGGATAAAATGCTAGAAACATTTTCTGGGGCTTCTTATAAAGAATGATTGACAACTTTTTGCAGCCAACGGCAGAACAGCATCCTAGTTTGTGGTTCTAACATGATGGAGCGACTGCGCACACTCCTAAGCAAACTATGGACCTGCTGCGTGAAATTGGTGTTTGGCCCACCCTGTATATAAAGACTAATACCCTGAAATTATGGCGTAATAGCTTTGAGCCCCTAAATTTTGAAAGAGCAGGCCAGGTTATACTTGAAAAATTATGAAGACTGCAGCACCCCTACGATGATGGAATAAGAAAATAAAAACAAACAGCAACATAATTAACCCGGATACTTAGGTAATACTGAAATATATTTTTGCGTCTTACCCTAATATTTTTTTGGGATCGTAGTTAAGTGAATTATTTAGCACCGATAGTAATAGAAGTATACAAAAAGAAAAGGACATCATAAACCAAACAATAACTAAAATAACTTTTAGTATTCCTAATTATCCTTATTTAATTACATGCATACATTTAGGGGATTCACAAGACGTGTTAACCGTCGTAAAATCTTAAGGTTAACATCTTGTTTAATTAAAATGGTTTTAGGGGATTTCAAACTAAACCGAAATTCTTTTAAACTGATAAAGAATATATAATTAGCCAACCCCCCAACCATTTTAACCGCTATTTTACATAAACAAGTGTTAAGCTTAAGATTTTACGACGGTTAACAAGTCTTGTGAATCCCCTAATTGTATGCACTACACTGGTTAAAAAAATAGACCATTAAGGGCCGTTTTCTAATGTAAGCAGTAAAGTTGCCTTTACTAGCAGGGCAGATAAATTGTTCCTCACTTTAAAGTGTTTTCGTTCTCTTACCTTGCCGGTAAAAATAAATTTGTTATTCCGTATAGTGAAACTTCACTACATTTCCGAGAGTGAAACTTCACTACATTCGTCATAAAATTTCAAAGGTTGGCAACGCAACATAAGCAAATATAGAGCAGGAGCAACTGTTAGCAAAAACCAAAACCTTGGTTGAAATATCTAATATATCTGACTCATGAACCAAAACCAAACCAAAATTTAAAGTTGGGTACAAATTTTAAAGGTTGCATCGGGTGAGCAACAGTTTATCGATTCGAGAAATTAATGCGCTGATGAGAAAACGAAAACTCGTATATCGAGACGATAAAGTGGCCGGTAAACTAAAGGTTAGATGAGAAAACGGCCCTAATAATATTAAGATTTATAGGTCGCTTATCGAGAATTTCTGTTTTCCATACATTTACGTATGTAAATAACACAGGAAACTGTTACAACTTTGAAATTTCATAACTTGTTTTTCAGTCAACGTATGGAAATGAATCGTATAAGAAAACTGAAGATTGTAAAAGTAGGTCTCGCATAAGTTTTCCATAAATTCTAGTTTTTTTTTATGTCGAGTAAAATGCACAATACCGTCTACAAGCCGAAATTTTTTTATGTAGAGGAAAATGCACTACACCGTCTACAAAAAAAAAAATGCAAAAATCATCGGTATAACAAGCTGCTATTATTATATATGTATATTTATGTAAATATTTTATGTTTTGTTATTTTCTTGTTTCACATATTACAATTTCAAAGCTAAAATTTTATTTTTATATGACAATGCCGTGCAATATGTAACATTTTTGTCTCTCTCGCATGTGAGTTTTAAATTGTATAACACTTGTACAGCAGGATGCCTTGCATAGCATATATAAAGCCTGTGCGCTCTTTAGAGCTGCAAAACTATCGATAGTTTCGATAATTTGAAAAATGCTATCGACATTTTCGATAGTATCGTATACTATCGTGTTGTATATGTAGGGAAACTTCAACTCCGAACAAAATGTGTATAATATATACATATGTACATATGTACATATGTAAATATAATAATTGCACATAGGTAAATATTACATCTTAAGCGTGAAATTCTAAATATTTTCCTAAGTTCAATTTACAGCGTCACTTATTTAAGTAAAGATCACAAAATTTCANGAAACTTCAACTCCGAACAAAATGTGTATAATATATGCATATGTACATATGTAAATATAAATATTGCACATATGTAAGTATAAATATTACATCTTAAGCGTGAAATTCTAAATATTTTCCTAAGTTCAATTTACAGCGTCACTTATTTAAGTAAAGATCACAAAATTTCAATGCACCGGCACTACCGACTATCGCCCAAAAACAGTCGATGTTGTTCCAAAAATAAAACTATCGATACTATCGATAGTACAATCGAGAG